TTTTCTCCTGACGTTTCGCCTGCATCTATGGCAAGCATCCTCAGAGGTAATGAGATCCATCATGAGATCCAGATCCATCATTGTTTGAGTCCACAGTGCTTCCTGGATGTAGGTGAACTACAAATCCAAAACTCAAGGTCAGCACCCACCAAACCCTTCCAGTATTTTCTGTTGNAGTTTGATCCAGATCCATCACTGTTTGAGTCCACAGTGTTCTCTGGATTTAGGTGAACTACAACTCCAAAAACTCAAGGTCAGTGTCCACCTGACTCTCCCAGTACTTCTCTTGGCCATGGGAATTCTGTGTGCCAAGTTTGATTCAATTCCATCATTGGTGGAGTTCAGAAGGCTCTTTGATTTTAGGTGAACTATAAATCCCAGCAACTCCAACATTCCCAAATGACAAAATCAATCCCCCCCCCAACCCCACCAGTATTCAAATTTGGGCGTATTAGGTATTTGTGCCAAATTTGGTCCAGTGAATGAAAATACATCCTGCATATTAGATATTTATATTACGATTCATAACACCAGAAAAATTTAAAAAGTAGCAACAAAATAACATTATGGTTGGGGGTCACCACAATGTGAGGACCTGTACTAAGGGGTCACAGCATTAGGAAGGTTGAGAACCACTGAGCTAGACTGTGAATTAATGCTGTGAAAGGATTTGGGGTTGAGGCTTCTGATACATGGATAAGTCAACCCAGGGTTTTGGGATCTATCTTTTGACTAGGATTTCTAGACTAGATTACTATTCTAGTTGTATTTGTGTGGTACATATCCAACTAAACCCAGTGCCAAACAATGGTCAAAGGCTTTATCCACACAATCCTAGGTTGCCCTCATCAAACAGAAAAACAGCTATCCACATTTGCAGATGTCATTTTTCTATATTTGATTATTCATGGGTTGTATTAATATTCCTCTTTAAGAATCTCTAGGTCCTCTGGTACAATTATGTGGTTAACTTCTTGCAGGTGGTAACCACAGAGTTGTGATAGGACCTAGAGATTCCTGGAGAGGTATTTTATTCCGGGTTTTTAAAAACAAACAAACAAACAAAACACTTCCCCCATTTACACCTGAGGCCTGCATCCCTAACTCCAGAGAATATGGAAAGCAGGATGTATCGTGTCCTGCAGAAAACCAAGCAAAATGTGCAAAGAAAGCAGTTCAATAAAAAAGAATGGGCTTTCACATTTTCTAACACCACCCTATCTCAAAATCCTAGGGTCAGATAACAGCCTTAAAACAATACATTTGCAGCACCGACATAAATGTGGCTAAGGCAATCCTTTGTTTATAGAATTCTTTCCTTTTTCTCTCCCCCTCCCCATTTACTGTTCGTATTAAGATATGTATAAGACAGTGTGCAGAGAGATAAACTGAATGGCTGCCAATGTGAAAGTGGAGCGATACTTACGCTTCTATATACGATGTAAGATAATGCACTTGGGAAAAGCTCCAGGAAGCATCAGCATTCACTTTTGCTAAACCATGAGATACATGTGTGTATATAATCTCAAACAATTGTTTCAAGTATAAATAGCTTTTCCTTGATTACTAAATTCTGGGGTGGCTGTAGGGGCAGTTCACTATCTGTGATGTGATAAATCCGTCCCACGTTTTAAGGTATTATTGCACAAAGGAGGCAAAATTGCATTGTAGCTGGACCTTTGGATAATGGCATGTGCACTGTTGGTTTGCCTCCTTCCCAAGATATCCCATCCCTTATGATTAGTGGGTGAAATCCATCAATAGCTTGTAGTCTCAAAATGTCCCTGTTACTTACCTTGATGCAGTGAGTTTCTTTTGTTTCTTAGCAAGCATCTTGGCAGGAAAGTGGCATCAAGGGACAGGTTTCTCCCCCTTGCTATTACCAAGATGTTTTCCATTTGTTTCATATTTTATAGTTATACTAGCCGTCCCTTGCCACGCGTTGCTGTGGCCTACATGGGGTTTCTGTGTGGGAGGTTTGGCCCAATTCTATCGTTGGTGGGGTTCAGAATGCTCTGTGATTGTAGGTGAACTATAAATCCCAGCAACTACAACTCCCAAATGTCAAGATTCTATTTTCCCCAAACTCCACCAGTGTTCACATTTGGGCATGTTGAGTGTAGAGTTTTGTCCAGATCCATCATTGTTTGAGTCCACAGTGATCTCTGGATATAGATGAACTACAACTCCAAAACCAAATGACACTGCCCACCAAACCCTTCCAGTATTTTCTGTTGGTCATGGGTGTTCTGTGTGCCAAGTTTGGTTCAATTCCATCGTTGGTGGGGTTCAGAATGTTCTTTGATTGTAGGTGAACTATAAATCCCAGCAACTACAACTCCCAAATGAAAAAAATCAACATTTTTTGAGTGAAGGACATACATTGGGTTGTTAGGTGTCTTGTGTCCAAATTTGGTGTCAATTTTCCCAGCGGTTTTTGAGTTCTGTGAATACCACAAACGAACATTACATTTTTATTTATATAGATTTCCTTGGGTTTTTAAAACCTGCAATTGTGGAACTGGTCTAAAAATATGGAACAGTGGTATTGCACTCTACGTGGGGCTGCCTTTGAAGACTGCCTGGAAGCTTCAACTAGTCCAATGGTCGGCAGCCAGGTTGCTCACCGGAGTGACGTACAGGGAACATACAACTCCTTTGTTACACCAACTCCACTGGCTACCAATCAGCTTCTGAGCACAATTCAAAGTGCTGGTTTTAGCCTTTAAACCTCTAAACAGTTCTGGCCCAGACTACCTGCCCGGACGTTTCTCCTGCCATGAACCATCACAAAGTTTAAGATCTTCAGGAGAGGCCCTGCTCTCAATCCCACCACTATCGCAAACACGGTTGATGGGGACGAG